ATGTGTTGATCTCACAGAAAACATCACTTAAATGTAGAAGGGCTTTGAAGGCGCTTCATGCGCCATGTGTGTGGACCCACAAGGGAATCCCGTCCCTGGTTGAGATTGATGCAAATTTGTCTTGGATCCGCTCGGAGGCTCAGGCGTTGGTTGTGCAGCGGAAGAAACAGCGTATTGCTCTATGGAAGGAGAAAATTCAGACTGATGAAAAAGGGACAATGCGTTTCATTTATCACCACCTGAGAAATAGGGCCCGTGATGAACCCTCAAACCTTGTCCATGACGAGAGTGGTCACATCATTTTCCATCCCCGACATGCCATCGCTGCTATCAATGATAAATGGGATGATATTTTCAGTGCTAATGTCTCCCATGAAGAGCCGTTGAATGTGCTTCGCGTTGTTTGGCCATATTTGGACCATGATGCCGAACCATGGTCGCTTCCGCCACTGGCTGGCGCTGATATCCTGCAAACCATCCAGAACAGGAACCCGCTGGCTGCAGCTGGACTGGATGGCTGGCGCACCTCCGATTTGCAAAAATTGCCTGTGACGTGCTGTGATGCTGTGGCAGCCTTTTTTAATAGGTTGGAAGCAGACTGTGAGTCATCCATCCCAGATGTGTTGGTTCGCGCAAAGCAAATTATTTTAAATAAACCCGGCCTGTCCACCCCAATGAACAAAAGACTGATCGCTATCATGTCCCCTCTCCTGTTAGCATACTCAGGTACAAGATTTCGACAGCTCCAGGAATGGCAACGAACGCGTTTGCCTGTCCAGCTCTGTGGTGGAGTCCAGGGTCGCACCATGGCCTCTGTGTCGGTTGGTCTGCGCCTGGATATCGATACAGCCCGCTGTGAGCAGTCTGATCTTGTTGGCATTAAACTGGACCAATCAAAGTGTTTTGATCGCATTGTGCCTGCTATTGCGGGCGTTTTGTTCCTTGCCTTCGGTATGCCAAAAGGGGTTGTGAATGTGTTTTTGAAAACCTATGTTGGTCTCAAGAAACATCTTTCTTATCGTGGATGGGTCTCGCGAGCGCATTCGACTTGTGCGAACGGTGTCGCACAAGGTTGTAGCTTGTCACTTTTGGCCATCAACACTTTCATGGCCGTATGGGTTAAGTTTGTCTCCCTCATCCCACATGTTACCTGTAAGGTTTTTATTGATGATGCATACTTATGGGTTCGCATCCAACATTTGCATCACCTTCAAACTGCCTTGCTTGTCACGAAGCAGTGGAACAATTTGATTGGGCAAAAGCTTAATCCCGACAAAAGTACGCTGTGGGCTACATCCACTGCTGCTAGAAATCAGGCCAAAGTGTGTTTCCCGGACATTCCGCTGGCACTTGAGTTTGATGCTCTCGGCGCAAAAATTTACACTTCACAGAGGAATGCAACTGCGTGTTCCCCTGATCGTGTTGCTAAAATTCGTGCTGACATCAAGAATATTGCTGCTTTGCCTGTGTCTAGGAAATCCAAAAGCAAGCTTATTGCAGCCAGAATCATCCCTCAGTGCTCATTTGCTGCTGAGATTACCGATTTGACCAAGAAAGCCGTTTCCGATCTCCAAACTGACATTGTCACTGCCTTATGGGAGAACCGACCTCACTGGCGCTCCAAAATGTTAGTGTTGTCACTTCTTGCTGAACCTTGTCTTGTTGACCCCAAAGTTGCCAGAGCTTTTACTGCCATTCGAAATTTTTGGCGCTTTGTCCATGCAAATCCTGATGTTTGTGAAACTCTTTGCGACATCTTCCCTGTGTGCATTGACCAGCCGCATTCATTGTTGCACACAGTTTCGGAGGCATTGCGTGTCTTCCATATCACGCTCTTTGCAGATTTGACCTTTGGTATTGCGGATGTTCGTATTCCCCTTCTTGAGGTCACTTTCAAAGACTTGAAACAGCTTTTGTATGCTTTGGGAAAACAAGCTTGCTATGAACTCTCTGTCTACAAGCCTCGGAAAGATTTGTGTCGACCGACTGGTATTATTGACACAACCCTCTCGCGTCTCTTCTTGCAAAAATACAAACCCCCTAAAGCTTCAAAGGAGAACCTTTCTCCCTTCTTTGAATCACAGCTGGTTGGGTGTACAATTACCAACGATAGAAGACACGCCGCAGGTTTTGCAGAATCAAACTTATGTCGGTTTTGTAACGGCATCAAAGAGGCTCTTAAGCACATTGTCCAAGATTGCCCAAAATGCCCGGAGCAATTGCGAAAGTGTGTTGTGCATGATCTCGGTCCGAACTATGCCAATTTCGGGATTGTGGAACACCCACCAGCGATCGTCGCCCATCGGCTCAGGTGGCTATCCTGGACAGACTCTGCGATTGTGCCTTTCCAGCCTCATCTTCCGAAGCTTGAACGGTGGACGGATGGAAGTGTTGTCTTTGGTCAATACTTTTGGCTTGCAACAGCTGCTTTTGCGATTGTCAATGAGAACGAAGAGTGTCTTGACGCTGGTCGCGTGCATCACCCAGGGATCTCAGCTTTTGCTGCTGAGCTATATGCGGTTTTGATTGCGGCTGCCCAAGCACCAGCGCAGGTTTGTATCTACACAGATTGTCTCACTGTTGTTGATCTTTTTGCGGATATGGTCGCCAATAACAGAGTGTGTGTGACATGGAGTCACCAGATTTGGTGGAAGAACCTTTTTCATATTTGGTCTATTCGATCTGCTGTTCAATATGAACCTCTTATTTTGAGATGGATTCCAGCTCACAAGAGTGACAATGTTCCGCTTGAGCATGTGGATCAGACATTGGCGGATAATCTGCAAATTCCTCTCAGACACCTACGTTGCAATCGTGTTGCAGACTTGAAAGCGAAGGAGGTAGCTTTTGCAAATGCACCAGTGCATCCCAAAGTGTTTCAGCAACTCCAGTATGATGTTTTTCAGCGACAGTCTCAGCTGGCAATCTTGAACAGGACCATTGGAACTGAGATGTCTGTCCGGAAATTTTTCCAGACAAAGGAGGATATATGTTCAACCGCAGAGGTTTTTGATGTACGTAAGCGGTTTCCCAACTGGCTGTGGAAGGCCGAAATAAGTTCCTTCCTTTGGACACCCACCCTGACTTCTGAGATCCACGATGCTCTCACCCATGTTTTTGGCACGATTGATGCTTCTTCCATCGGTGAATTTTGGTCTTCTCTTCATTGGCAGTGTGGTGAGCAGTTCTCTGTTTCCTACATTGAATTGGCCTTTCTTTTTTGTCGGCAGAAACGTTCGCTGGAAAAATTTGCTGAACCGAATGTTACAGTGGCACAAATCCAGAAGGTCTTGAAGAGAGCTGCTGGTATTATTTTTTCCCTAAGTGGTCAACAGTTGATCCCAGGTCTGCATGACGCCGTGTGGGCTCATAAATGTGGACGAGCTTTACCGAAAGGGTCCATCCGGAGTGCAAGACCCTTTTTCGCTGATCCTGAACTGGAATGTTTCGCCCATCTTTTGCTTGATGGCAAAAATCAGAGCCTCACAACCTGGGATATTGCTCCGGCAGATTGCTTTGGCGTGACTTAATTCGTTTGTTGGGCATCTTGGCTTTTGTAGGGTTTCGCAACTTGTTAATTCACTGACTGCAACCATAGCCACTAGACCTGTGAGTCTACGGCTGTCCCACAATACGTGGGAATGACGGATAGAACAGGTGGCAAGAAGGTTTGACATTGTGACATGGACATTCATGAGAGGCGAGCAGTTGAAGCAGTTGGCCGACAGTTGGCCCTTTTTCGGAACACTTTTGGACGAAACGGGAGAAAAAGGAACGTGGACTCCACATTCAGTGGCTTTGCCATGTTTTGCCGAATATTCTCCATAGATCCCAGTCCATTTTCTTCACCAAAAATCAACCACAAGTGGAATCCACAGTGCCGTCAACAAACCTGCTCTGCAGAAGGACGGGGGGAAAGAGCGCTATGACTCCAGCCACACCTTGCTGATTTCACTCTCTGATCGCTCGACCTTCAGCGGCGGCGCCACACGCCTGTGGCCCAGCAACAGCTATGACGACACGGCTGTGGATGTAGAGCTACCGCGTGGCTATGGGCAACTTGGTGATATGTCAGATATCACATCATATCATATGATATCACACCCCCTTTGCTTTTTCAAAAACACATCTGCCAATGGCACCTATTCCAAGCATGTTTCTTTCAATGCGGACAGCCTGCCCGTGCCCAACCTTTTGTCGTGCCCAACCTTTTGCGTGCGAACGAAGGCTCATCTTCGATCAGCGTTTGCTGCACTCGGGCCTGGCGGTCCAGCGGGGCACGAAGCACATTGCCCAGGTGGGTCTGCTGCGTGGCGCTCCCAGCGCCATCAGCGGAGCGCCCAGCACCTTCCGCTTTGGGCCAGGGCTTGACGTGCGGTGAGCACCACTCTTCAGTGTGAAATTCCGGTCCATCGAGTTGAGATGTAGAGCTCCGGATGGACTGCCCTAGACATGGACCTCCAGACAGGATGATCCAGACAGGATGAACCAGGCATGTGTATCTGGTGTTCTTGGTAGTGCTGAAGTGCTGAATTCGTGGTGCTTGCCGTTCGCCGTTCGCATCTGTGGTGAGACTGATCGCCAGAGCCTTTGGGCTCGGGTCTGAGACACCGATGCAGCTCTGCTCCTTTCCACACCTTCGCCCGAAGAAAAGGAGTGATCGCCGCCTCGCGCGTTTTTGGTCGACCTGGGTGACATGGACTGAGAAAGATGTTTGTGGGTCAAAACCTGCAGACTTTGGGTCGAATCCTGGAGACTTTGGTTTGACCTACCTGGCGAGGTCGTTTGCGGCAAATGGTGGACGAGGGCTGTTGGGCAAGTGGCTATTTTGTGACTTTAATGCTAGCCAATGACCTTATATGGCTTTGGATTGCGGGGCAACATGTCAAAATAGGCCAACTGATGACAGCGCAATTAGACCGGAACCTCTCAAGCAACTGACCCCATTTGCGGGTCCGGACGGACCACGTCCGGTCTGGGTCCCGGACTCGTCCGTTGAGGCAGAGAAGATTCAGCAAGCTTTCCGGAAACATGCAGAGCATCAGGTGCGGAGGAAGTGAGGGAAGCGACCCTTCGAACTGGCGGGTGGCCGGCGGTGCGACCCTTCTGATTTCAGACGAGGTTCAGACGACCTGGGTGGACCTTCCCAAGCCAATTTGTTCGAGCTGAGTTTCCCTTGTTTGAGCTGGTGGTGCAGGCTGCTAGGCTGGAAGTTGGTGCTTTTGATGGGAGCTTCCCACATCTGAAACAAACTAAGGTATGTTAGAGACACTTCGGCACCCCTGGCCCACAACCACCCAGGGAGTAGAAGAATCTACCCCTTAGGGGGGGGATGGGGGTTTCACCCCAGCTAAGGTGGAACAGCCCAGCTAAACCGTTCGAACGTCCAGCTCAACCGGCTCGGTCTTTCGTCCGAAACACATGCTTCGGTCCACAAGGAGTATTGGTACTCCAGGAGCGTTTCTTCCAGTCGCTGAAACGGGGTGAAGATGGGATCAAGGTCCGGCGCGAAAAGACCAGATCCTTTTGGTTCATTCATTTTCCTCAGTGTAAGCCCATGTCTGGACCTTGACCTACTAGATCCTGCCAGTAACCCTCTGGACATCTCTGGACCTTGACCTGTTAGATATAGACAGATATAGACATGTTTTGGAGCCGGCAGAAGGTTATAGACCTTGACCTGCACAGCTCTGGACCTTGACCTGTTAGTTGACCTGCAAAACGTCGGGACGAATGGACGAATCGGCTTCCGGCAGGAAGTGAAGCGAATCCAAGCAACGGACGCCGGGCCGGGAGCTCTGTTTGTGCCGCTTGAGCCGTGTCCGTCGTGTCCTGAACAGACCCCCCTTCTGCTGAACAGATCTGAGAGATTGTCACCACAAAAAAGACAAACATGGCCATGGCAAGCCGTCGTGTAACATGTCAACCATTCAAACAATGCAAGAGTCTTGGAAGAGGGCACCAAAATTTGATTCAACTTGTGCATTGATTGGCAAAGCATGCTAAGGCCATTGATGTAAATTGAATTCTTTAAGCTGTTGGTGGCCAAAGCTAGAGATGGCTGTGGGACACGCCCCATCCAGGTCGATCGCATCCCATGGCCTCAATGAAGGGCCTCGAACAAGGGAGAAGCCCATGGTCCAAAGGAGAATAAGATAGACTTTTCATGAATACACATTCACGTGAAAAGGCTTTACAATCGAAGTGGAATGGGGTTGTATTAGTATATTGATCAAGAGTCTAATATTGGACGATCGCACTAGACTCCAATGGTGAGGATCCCGTGACCAATTTTCGTCAGATCCGAGACGCATGGGACACTGAGAGAGATGTTGGTTTGGTGGAACATGTGGAAGCACTGGACATTGGGTCACCACCTGTTTTGGCCAGTTGAAAAGCCTGAACATTGGAGCCATGTTCCACCTGTCCTCATGTAGGACAGACCCTCTCGCCGGCCCTGAGGTCCAGTTCCTGAGTGGCCGGCATTGAGCAAAGCGGTGGCACAGAGATGACGACGTATGATCCCTAGCCTTCCAAGACCATTGATTAAAAGAAAGGTTGCCAGACCATGACAGACCTGGTTCTGTAGTCCAAAATCTAAAACCATCTAAAACCCCAAAATTACTGTTGAAACACAGGTTGTTGAGCCCTAGGGTTATGTGTCATAATTTTCATAGTCATACTTTTAATGTCAAGCCACAATTGCCAGGCATACTAAAGGACAGATAGTTTGACTAGCCGAGCGGACCATGTTAGGTGCTTTAACCGACTGCTCAACTGGCTCGGCTTATCTCAACTTCGGGGGCTCCGGCATCCACAAATTGGAAGGGGCTTGGAAACGTGCCAGCGGATGAAGCGGCACTATCACTGTGCTGTTGGATCGTCAATGCTGTTGGAACGTCAATGTCAATGGCACCATCTAACCTTTGCAGCATATGGGATCATTGACAATTACAGTATGATTCAGGATCATTTTCAATGGTAGAGCGCATACGCGAGTGATGTTGGGTGTTAACCTGGGGTAGAAGTTCTTCGGGTTGATTTGCCTGGAAGACCGCCGACCACGGCTTACATTGATTCATCACAGGCAAACACCTCAAGCTGTGCTGTAGCTGTGGGTCAAAACGCCGACCTCCCCGGAGGGCGGACCATGTCTAGTATTCCATTTGCTTCATTTTCAGAGGTCAACCAGGCTCCAACGTTTTGACCCATAGCCATGTGCAGTATGGTGGGACCTACTTGTGCAGCGCCGGTGCTCTTGGTTTCACTCAGCCCGGAGCCTGAATCGGCAAGAAGGATTGCCATGAGATCTGCGGATCCTGTGCTTCAACTAACATCAACTAACTAAAATTTGAGAACTAAGCTATGATTCTGATGTCAAATACTGGTAGAATACACAATACATTTACAGTAAGTTCAGTATCAAGTAGTTATATCTTTCTACTTGTTAAGCGGATGATGGAAGAGCTGGGAAAGCTGTCAGACATAGTACTTGACCAGCCTCTAGTAGGGGTTCTGCGGTGCTTCTATTCTGGAGATGCTGGCATCTCCAATCAATGCCCTGAAAGATCTCTTCCTATACCTCTTCAGTTCCTGTAGTCGAACAATTTGGTTGATTGGCCACCATCTCAGGCCCCAGTGTGAAAACAGATCGGGCAACACAGACCATGAACCGTGGCATCGCTGCCCCAACGAAGCCATGAACCGGCCACCGGGGGGGGGGTGTTGGCCATGCCCCGGGGTGGCGCATGCTCACTGATGGCCCGTGATCGGTCCTTCCAGTGCCGGTCGTCGCGAAACACCCTCGTCTCTGGGATCTAGTTCGTTGGCGCTTTCCGTCTGCATGGTGACACCCGGTGGTATGAACTTGACCGGAAAGACAGGATCTGTCAGACTTTCCCCACTGCTCCGGACCCCATGGTCGCCACCGGACACTTCCCAAGGGAGCGGCGGCAAAAATGATCTGCCAGTGGACGGCTTTCGGGTTCATGGTCTGCCGCTGAGGGTGATGGAGATCAAAAGGGGTTAGGTGTCTCAAGAAGAGAGGAAGCTACCCATGGAATCTGAGGCTCCACGGAGGACGGAAGCTTCCAGATTCAGAATTCATCTATGAATCTGCCATGGTATCATTGGGAGTGGCATTGTTATTGCGTGAATGTCAAGGATTACCCAGCCAGAGATTCCCACCACTGGTGGAATCGCATCCTTTTCCCGCAAAGCAGACTTGTCATAGGCATACCCTGCAGGGTGCTCTAGTCGAGGTCCCACTTTCTCCCACTTTCGAGCAAAGATATGGTCGGAACAGAATCATGGAAGTGGATTTGATGGCCATACGGCCCCTTGGACGACCATTTTCCTCTACAAACCGATGGATCTTAAGAGGCGCCCACGCCTACACATCCCACGTCAAAACCGGTCCGTGGGCCGACGCCAGGCAGTCCACCATATCAGGTCCCCCGCTGAGAAAAGGGGTGTCGATTTGATCTATGTATAACCCCGAAAAAGCGGTGAGAAAAGGGGTGTCCATTTTTTCCCCACCCCTTCGATGTTCTGATAGATTGATCCTCTTGAAAAACCACCCCAACTGACAGGGTCTGTATGATTGTGTGCCAGTCTCCAGGAGTGTTTCTTCCACCAGGACTTCACTCGTCGCTTGGGATGGAGGCGCCACCTGCGCCACCGGCACCGTCGCGTGCCCCACCCCATTGGCGGTCGGCTGTTTGGGCTCCGACGGAATCCAGCCTGGCCCAAGAAATCATCAAGGCGCGAGCGGGCGGATTTCGGAGACGCAGAGGGAGGAGAACATGGAGACGACCTGCAACATGAGGTGACTGGAGGTGCTAGTATGTGGATACTTGATGATATTTGATGATATTTGTTAGTTCCTATAACAGACTCCATTTGTAATGATGTTAGGTCATTTGAGAAATTTGAAATATCCTCTAGGACGTTGTCATGACGCTTTTGAAGCAAGAGACGTGTGACATCCCACATGGCAAAGCTCAGGCAAACGAGTCAACCTGTGTGTTATTGTGTGTTTGTGGATGAAACAGTGGATGAATCCACCAAGAAACCATGATGAAACCCAAAGCCTACTTCAAAACCTTCAAAAGAACAGCACCGGTGCTGGCCTAGACCTTGCTAAGAGGTGTGTCCTGGCCTAGCTATGAGGATCGAAACGTTCGGACACCGCCGAGAAAACACTCTGAACGCACCCCGTTCCGAATGAGGCAGCGCTTTGCTGTCAGTGTTTTATGCCGCTGGCCTGAAGATGGTGGGAGATGTGCCAGTGTGGAAGTGGATGGAATGGCCTTGGAGGATCTTGGAGGACTATTGTTAACTCCACAAGCAGAGAATCCTTGTCGGAAGATCGTTGCATCATCCGAAACCTGGATGAGAAGGTGGACCTGGGAGATGGAGTCTTCCCACCTCCCAGCAGCCCTTCATTTGATCCGCTGAAGGGAGCATGGGGAGGAGCATGGGGATGGGCGGCCAGAACCGGAGTTGGAATGACGGACTCGGCAAGAATAGAGTGGAACAGATCCTGTTTGCAATTTGCAGAGGAAAAGCATGGAAGAGCGCTTGCCCATGGCCTTGCAACCCACTTTCATAATTAGAGTGGAGTGATTCCTCTTTCAAGCTATCTCACATGTCAACTATGCTTATCTATAATATATGGCACGCTTCATGTGGTTTGGTCTCCTTATGTAGCCGTACCGGCCATCAGGTCAAAAGCAATGCGCCATCTTGTGCAATGCCTGTGGCTTGGATTTGAATTTGACCCGTGTTTGGTGGCGTGAAACGACATGTTCTCTGCATCATCTTTGTCGCATGTGGATCAAGGAATCGCTCCCTAGGCTGGTTCAGCAGTTGCTCGTGTAGGACGATCAGACCTTCAGACGCACCCATGGCCCAGATCGGCCCCTCTGTGGTGCCGCTCACCACGGGTTTTTACTACCAAGCCACAAGAAGGCACGTGTACAGCGGGGACTGCGCATATGTACCACCGCATTTGCCTAGCAATTGTACCTACGGTAGTCGCTGTTTCACCCTCTGCCAGCATTGAGGGTGAGATGTTCTTTTACTAATTAGGCTATCTTATCTTCTGAAGCATGAAGGTAAACCACCTACAGATTGACACCATCCTGAACAGACAAGCCATGCTTTTGCGAAAAATGGGCCCAGTGTCCAGTGGGTTTACAGGGATCTACATATGTACAGACCCGAACTTATGGATCCTTATACCCTTTGAGAAGGTCAGGGTCAGGTGATTTGTGCGTTCAACACTTGAAATCAGATCGGCGAGTGGTCTTTCCCCACGCGGCCGACCGAGTTGTATGAAGCTGCCTATTTGAATCTGAAAAGAACGTGGCGAGGTAACCATGGGCACCAGCTCTTCCACTTTTACAGGTGCAGAACACCCCCTAAAAGAACCGGGTCGAAAGAGCTGGGTTCGACCGCCCAGAATCGTGGGATCTGAACGTTGGCCGCCAAGCACCTGGGGGTCCTGAGGCTTCACAGGTTCAATCATCATGGGGAGAGAAAGCATCCGAAAGCCACCAGACATAGGCACTTCCTTAGTGAGTCTGCTGTGATGTTCCAAACAACACCGGCACTACGTCCAAGAAATGCACTTGCTAGAACACATTAAAATCTTTGAATGTAAACATCAATTGGAAGTGTTACTGCTACTGTTGACCTACAAGAGTACCTTCTATTAGGAGCCGACGGAAAAACCTGCCAACGTGGGAGTGGAGTTTCCACCTGTTTTCAGAGGAAGATCGTCGTAAGTTAGGTCCGTTTTCCACTTCCATGGTTGGTGAATGGAAGTGCCTGTAGTTTGTTTCAAAATTTATCAACAGTTTCAGACCGTGGAAGCCGAGCGAAGTTGCGAAGTTTGTTGCTTACCTTCACTAGATCGCTAGATGATGCTCGATTTTGTTATATGTTGTACGTTGTATTATTCTGTTCTGTTTCCATCATATTCCGATGGTGTTCGTATTTATGTAAGATACACATCAAACACTTATTCCATGTTGTACACACATATTCACAAATGTCACAAATACCTACTATATCTCTCATCTGAATCCAGATGGCTCTCGTGTATGACAACATCAGATCGCCCAGTGAACAATTATTAACCTTGAAGGGTAAACTGATGGATTGGACATATGAGGACGAACATGAGTTAGACCTGCAACAGTCGGTAGCAGATTATCACTTGTTTTGAGAGAGGCCTGTTCAGATTATCACGTGTTTTGAGAGAGGCCTGTTCTAAGCATCATCATCCACTGGACCCTGGTAATGGGATATACAGCTAAATATATAGTATATTATATATCGATATAGATATCCCCAAAGCATGAGCTCTGCTGTATGGGAAGACACCCACCGCAGATCAGCGCCTGACCTCACCTGTCCAGATCGATGTTTTCTCCAGATTCGATGGGACGAACGAACATCGATCCGAAGTGCGGGTCCGGGTGAGGGAGGCTTGAGAGCTTGGGGACGTGAATGGACGACATGATGTC